TTTTCTTTCAGCACTTATTTGTACCCCTTTCTTCTGGTGTCCCTAGTTCCTGAGACGTCTACTATCGTTTGAATTGTATCTCTTTTATTGGTAAGTAGGGGTGTTGTGATTTCTGCCTATCAGCTTTCAAGATTTTTTTTTTCTTTGTTTTTAGTTTGCAGAAGTTTGAGTATGATGTCTTGGTTTGGGTTTTTTTTTAGGTTTATCCTGTTGGGGTAGCTCAGCTTCTTGAATTTTAGGTTTATGTCTTTTGCCAAGTTGAGAAGTTTTCAGCTTTTACTTCTCTGAGTACTTTTTCACCCCTGCCTTTTTTCTCCTCACCTCCCAGGACTTTGATGACATCAATATTAGATCTTTGGTTACAGTACCACAGGTCCTTAAAGTGCTGTTATTCGTTTGGGTTTTTTTCAGTCTGTTTTCTTTCTGTTCAGATGTATAATTTCTGTTTTGTATTCAAATTCAGTGATTTTTTCCCTTTGTCCCTTCCATTCTGCTGTTGAGTTCATCCATCGAGCTTTCATTTTTTTTTTGTTGTTTTTGAGACAGATTCTCACTTCGTTGCCCTAGGTAGAGGGCGCAGCTCACAGCAACCTCAAATTCTTAGGCTCAAGTGATCCTCTTGCCTCAGCTTCCCAAATAACTGGGACTATAAGTGCTCACCACAACACTTATTTTTATTTTTTATTTTTTTGAGATGGAGTCTCACTGTGTTGCCAGTAGAGTGCTCTGGCATCACAGCTCATGGCAATCTCAAACTCTTGGGCTTAAATGATCCACTTATCTCAGCCTCCCAAGTATCGGGGACTACAGGCACAGCCACAATGCCAGGCTATTTTCAGAGGTGGGGTCTCACTCTGGCTCAGGCTAGTCTGGAACTTGTGAGCTCAGGCAGTCCACCCACTTGGTCTCCCAGAGTGCTAGGCTTATGAGCCACCCTGCTGGGGCCCTGGCTATTTTTAGGGATGAGGTCTTGCTCTTGCTCAGCTGGCCTCCAACTCTCAGCTCAAGCAATTCACCTGCTTTGGCCTCCCACAGAGTGCTAAGATTACACGCAAACTTTAAAAAAATTTTGTTATTTTATTTTCAAGTTAAAAAGTTTCCATTTTTTCTTATATATTCTTTTTCTTTGCTGAGATGTTCTATTTTTGTTTTGTTTTGTTTCAAGCATGTTTCAATTGTTTAAGCATTTTTATAATGGCTATTTTAAAATCATTGTCAGGCTATTCCAACATTCTTGGCATCTATTGATTGTCTTTCTTTATTCAGTTTGAGATCTTCCTGGTTCTTGGTATGATGCATGATTTTTGATTGAAAGCTAGACATTTGGAGTATTATGTCATGAGACCCTCAATCTTATTAAACCTTCTGTTTCAGCTGATTTTTTCTGGAAGTACTCCGGCAAGGGAATGGAGAATGCTACTTCATTCTTGCCAGCTGCAGGTAGAAGTCCAGGTTCCCTGCTCAGCCTCTGTTGACTCCTGAGGGTAGAGGGTTTTTCATTACTGTGAGGTGGAGATGGATGGGTGTTCCAGCTCCCCATTAGGGCTGCCCATGTGGCTTTCACTGATACCCAGTGAGAGTGAGGGAGTGACCATTTACTGCTGGGCAGTGGTAAAAGTCTGATTTTCCTTTGCACAGCCTTTGACATTAGCCCAGTAGGGAAAGGTACCTTGTTACTAATAGGTAGGAGGCGGTCCAGGCTGTCTACGTCAGCGCTTCTCAACTTGTGGGTCACGACCCCTTTGGGGGTTGAACGACCCTTTCAAAGGGGTTGCCTGAGACCATCCTGCATATCAGATATTTACATTACGATTCATAATAGTAGCAAAATTACAGTTATGAAGTAGCAATGAAAATAATTTTATGGTTGGGTGTCACCACAACATGAGGAACTGTATTAAAGGATCACGGCATTAGGAAGGTTGAGAACCATTGCTCTATGTAGTCTCCATTGATACTGTGGTCTTATTATGCCTAACAGGGATGAAAGTATCACTCCCTCCTTTATCTTATCTGACTCCAGCTCTGCTGAGGGGTTGGGATACTGGGTATAGTCTGGTGAAGGTAGAATTCTAGATTCTCCAGTCAGACTTTGCTGGTGTTGGTAGGAATGGGAGTGGAGGCACAATTATTTTTCTGTGGTATTTGGCAGGAGTAGAGCAGTTCCTATTTGAAGTTTCCTGTCTTTCTTAGAGTCCCTTTCCTGTTCTTTGGCTAGAGAGAGCAGGCATATGTTGGCATTTTTGCACCAATCTAGACTCATTGGAATTTGTGGATTATTCAGCTCTGCTCATCTCTGTGTTGTACCAAGGTCCCTAGCCAGACTGTCTTCTATAGTTTGCCTTTCAGAGTCTTCTGTGTTTATAATATATATATTATCCAGGGTTTTTAATTGTAGGAAATGAAAAATATTCCCTACTCTTCTATCTTCTTAGAAGAGAAGTTGACTGTGGCTTTTAATACCATAAGTTAGTTTTTCCTGCTTATTTTTTTCCCTAAATGGAATCCTATGGTATATGAAGTTTGGTTTTGTTTTTGCTTCTTTCAGTCTGTGTTTACGAGGTTCATCCTGTCACTGCATGTAGTTTGTAGGTTCTCCAGGGCAGAGGCTGCAGGTTTCCTGCCCAGAGGATGAAAGTCTTGCCAGCCTCTGGGAATCTAATGAAGAACGTGGGGTGGGGGCTTGAGACGGCACCAAGACCTAGAGTCCAGGATGCACTTGTCCTCTCCACGTCCTGTTTTCAGGCTGGTGCTGCTGCTTGCAACTCCATCAGGTGTTCTGTGGCCAGAGAACCTATGTTTTATGTTTTCCAGAGGAAAACAAACTTTAGTTGTTTGGCCAACTATGTGGAGTGGAGAAGGGGATTGAAAGGTGGGGTTTAGGCTTTCAGTTCTATTTAGGCAGCACCCTCCCCTACAACTTGCAGATAAACCTCATGTGACCAACTCATGAATTTTTGAGGGATTCTGAGTAGCAAATTGTATTAGTTCTTGGCTTTCCCCATTACCAACCAATTTTAGTTTTCTCAGAGTTACTAAGTAATTTACCAATCGTTTAACTACTTTCTGCCTCCCAGAATTTCATATATTGTTATCCTATGCTCTTTAACTCATTCTAGTCTGACTTATGACCCTAAAAGTCTGTGTGTTATTTTAATGGGGTTGAGGGAAAGATTCAAAATAGATATGTTGAGTCTTTTCACTCAAAAGTTTCATACAGTTTTATACATTATAAACATAAATGAGTATTTTTAAAATTTTGAGCTCAAGAATTAAGTTAATTTGGAAAATAAGTCCATGGGGGACTTATTTGTTCCTCTCAGGTGATGAATTGGAATTAGAATGGCTGAGTTGGAGAGATGAAGGGACTAATGATGAGGGGAAAATATGTTTAGAATACTGAAGAGAGTCTTTCAGGCAGAAATAATTTTATTTCACTTTTCCTTCAGGCTTTCTTAGAGGAAAAAACAAGATGTTGGCTCAGTGCCTGTGGCTTAAGTGTCTAGGGCGCCAGCCACATACACCTAAGGTGGCAGGTTCGAATCCAGCCCGGGCCCGCCAAACATCAATGATGGCTGCAACCAAGGAAAAATACCCAGGCATTGGGGTGGGCGCCTGTGGTCCCAGCTACTTGGGAGGCAGAGGCAGGAGACTCGCTTGAGCCCAGGAGTTGGAGGTTGCTGTGAGCTGTGATGCCACGGCACCCTAAAAAAAAAAAAAAAAAAAAAAAGGAAAAACAAGATGTTTTCCATTCACCATGGAGAAAAGCATGATTTGGGAACTACATAGAATCGTTGTTGTACAACATGGTGAACATACCAAATGCCACTGAATTGTACACTTTAAAATGGTGAATTTTGTGTTATGTGAATTTTACTTCAAGTAAAAATAAAATTAAAAAAAAATATATTATTAGTGACTGAAACAGACACCAGCTAAAACCACAGCTTCTGGAAGAACTACTTATTTTTGCTCACCTTGGACATCTCTTCAGACTTGACCTTGGCCTTCTATGGGCCTTGTGTTTAAGAGCAGGTCTCTGAAGACACCCTTGTTGATGACAGTTTTGTTCAAAGGGATCTCCACAGAGTACCTTGTGGCCATGAGGTGATTGTATTATAAACTTTCACAAAAGACATGATCTCTGATCACTTGGTGATCTTCTTGCCCAGGGCAGCTGTCACTTTGCAGAGATAGTGGTCAATTCCAGCCACCCGAGCATGGCTGTGGGGGTGGTCTGAGGTGCCATCATCAGTGTTCTTCACTATGACAGGTTCGTGTCCAGAGCAGTGTCCAGCTAGGACTGGCACCACTTTTCCTGGGTTTCATGAACTTGCCCATGTCTGGTGCCACCCTGGCCTTCAACCACTAGAACACAGATGGATGGTGGTGGATTGGAAACAAGTAAAAATATTTTAACCTAAAAAAACCAACACATGAATACAAGATACTAGCAACCAGCTTCAGTTGTAGAAGTGCACTAGGCTCCCTCTTTCTCATTACATTTGTGGTTGTGGTTAAAGTGCAATCTGTTTTTCCCTATAAACAGAATGGTTTTATTTTCTAAAGAATTTTAGACTTTATGATGCAGTGGATTTGTTTAAACAGTGAAACCTAGAAACTGTGAAAAGTGTTTATTTTCACCTCCCTATCATTTGTACATTTTCCTTAGGAATCAGTGAAAAGATTAAGAATGAATATGAGCCGTAAACCTGACACTGGAAGATGTAATTAGTCAGTCATGGCCACAAAGAGTATGCAATTTTTTAAAAGCTATTTTTCTTTACCAGTATTGTGTGGTTGCAAGTGGTAAATGATGAAAATCCTTTCTCACAATTACTATTTTAGCTACAGTTTGTAACGCCTTAGTTTTCCTGCAAGATGAAGTTCTCTGTTTACATGTCATGATTTTCATTACTAAGCCATCGTTTAAATTTTACTTTACAGATCAACAACTACAACTCTGAAGGTCGTAAACTTTCTGATGGTGGTGGTGAGCCATGGCGGCAGATGATAAAGTTGCGATCCTAACTGATGATGAAGAAGAACAGAAGAGAAAATATGTGCTTGCTGATCCCTTTAATGGTATTTCCAGGGAACCAGAACCACCTTCCAATGAAACACCCTCCTCCACAGAAACATCTGCTATTCCTGAGGAGGAAACAGACTGGATAGAGAAACATTGTGTTAAGATAAACAACGACCTTCTAATTTCCAAGGTCTTTTATTTTTTCTTTTACTCTGCCTATGGCTCCCTCTACCCACTTTTGCCCGTGTATTATAAACAGCTGGGAATGTCACCAAGCCAGAGTGGACTTCTAGTGGGTATTCGATACTTCATTGAGTTCTGCAGTGCCCCCTTCTGGGGTGTGGTTGCGGATCGCTTTAAAAAAGGCAAAATTGTCCTCCTCTTTTCTCTTTTATGTTGGGTTTTATTCAACCTGGGCATTGGATTTGTCAAACCCGCTACCTTGAGATGTGTACCAAAGATTCCCCCGACAGTGCGCCCCACCAATGCAAGTCATCACTTAACTGTTCTGCCAACAAATTCCTCTGTTACCACTTTCCTTACTGTATCACCAAAAATGCGTGAGAAACGGGAACTGCCTCCTTCAGACGGGCCATTAATGTTAGAGACAGGACTCAATGTCTCAGATGCTGTTACTGTTTCAGCAGCCCCGGACAAGTTCAGTGAACCCACTCTGCAGCCTCGGACACATGAAATTACTGACCATATGATGGACTTGACCTTGAACTCTACCACAGCTGCCCCTGCCCCCCCAGGAAATATAACCAGGGAGACAACCACTGCTATTGTCACGACCACCAAATCCTTACCTTCTGACCAAGTCACTCTTGTTTATGACCAACAAGAAGTTGAAGCTATATTCTTGGTGATCTTGGTAGTTGTCATCATAGGAGAATTTTTCAGTGCCTCTTCTGTCACGATTGTAGATACGGTAACACTCCAGTATCTAGGAAAACACAGAGACCGCTATGGATTGCAGCGCATGTGGGGCTCCCTGGGCTGGGGCCTGGCGATGCTGTCGGTGGGCATAGGGATTGACTACACCCACCTAGATGTGCTCATCGATGGGAAGGGGTGTAAGCCCCCTGAGTACCGGAACTACCAGATCGTCTTCATTGTCTTCGGCGTTCTCATGACCATGGCCTTGATTGTGGCAACTCAGTTCCGGTTCCGCTACAACCACTTCAAAAACAATGATAATAAAGGGAAGGAGGTGGAGATCCCTCAGGTGGAGAGAAACACCTCCACAGAGTCGTCTGAAGAGACCCCGACCACCGCCAGCCACTCGCAGGCCTTTAGCTTCTGGGACTTGATCAAACTGCTCTGCAGCGTGCAGTACGGCTCCGTGCTGTTCGTGGCATGGTTTATGGGTTTCGGATACGGTTTCGTCTTCACCTTCCTCTACTGGCATTTGGAAGACCTGAATGGAACTACAACCCTCTTTGGGGTCTGCTCGGTCCTGAGTCATGTATCTGAGCTGACGGCTTATTTCTTTAGTCACAAGCTTATTGAATTGATTGGCCATATCAGGTAAGAAAATGCTTACTATTCCTGCCCCTCAGCAATTGAATTTTATCTTTCTATGGTTTGTATCTTCTTTTAGCACATTTAGAGATACTATAATTTGTGTTGGGGATAGGGTGGGGGTGGGAGTGGGGCTTTCTGTTCTTTATCCTTAAAATAGAAATGAAAGGAAGGAAATCAAGAAGCTAGGAGGACTGTCTAATACAAACAAAAAAAACGGCTGCCTCCTCTCTCCCACCACTCAGAAAGGATCTGTAGGTGATTTTACTTATGTGCTAAGAGACTCTTATGGTAAATGTTTTCAGGTATGAGAATACCAATTTAGTGAATATAGAAGTCCACAGACCTTGAAGGAGCCACCCATCCTAGGCACTTATGTAGGAGAGTTTACGTGGATAAATTGGATTTTTATTTTTTTTTTAGCCTTTGTTTGTTCTTAGTCACTTGATGGCATAGAGCTTGAATATATGGTATACAAAGATGTCCCTTATATACATATTTAATAAGGCAGTAATGTAACCCAGTGTAATCCCTAATCCATGGAAGAGGTTCTTAACTTTTTCTGATTGTTAACATGATTCTCTACATTTTTGTTTGCTTTGAAGACATGGGATGTTTAAAAATATTTCTTCCACCTAAAATTTTCCATGTAATCTTTTGGTCAAAAGAAATCTCTAAATGCCTGGTGCTTCTTGTATAATGCTTCTCACCATTACTGTTTGCTTAAAGCTAATTGAACAGTACCTTGCTCTTTATAGATCTTCCCATTTTATTGTTGGCTCTAAAATGTGGAGCCAGCTACACTTAAGTAAGCGTTCCTGTCTCATAGAAAGGTTTGACATGTCTGCCCCTAAAATTTGAATGCCATAACCTATAAGAGAAAGCAGCTGTATGTGTATGTGACATATGTAGTAACATTGAAATCTGTGGTTTCTATGAGAAAATTAAAAGGGAGAAATAGCAAGGATACATATAATAAGACTTGAAAAACATTGATCTTTCCTTCATTTCTTTTCTCCTGAGGAAAATATTTTGTAATTTAAAGTTTCAACCAAGAATCAATTTTTTCCTTAAACAATTATGAATATTTTTTCTGATTTGGTCTGGTTTTGCTTTGGGAGGCTGTGTCCTGTTCCTTCTCGTTCTCAATCTTTGACCCTTTTGTTTCACTAAACAAAGTCAGGCACTGTGTGGACAGTTCCCGGACCCACAGAATCTGTGAGGCGCATTAAGTGGGAGCAATCTGAAAAAGAGCCATGTGATTCTAAGAACTTGGGCTGTCTTTAACCTTGTCAGGGGCATGTTTGCATTATCTGAGCTACGATTCTTGACTAAGATGAATTATGCATTTCAGTTTGGGAGTGGATCTCACTGCCATTAATAGCATCTTTAAAATTACCATCATTCATTCCCAGAAAGGTACCAGTTAGGTATTAACAATAGGTGAAGTGCCTAGAATTACTATTTAATAAGTCAACAGCATTAGGTGAACACTGACTCAGTCTGGAGTATGTGTTCAGGTTCTGTTTTCAAAGAAATTGTTTATATGCTAGAAAAGGTAGATACAATATTTTCATGATAAAATCCTAGTGCATTTACTGTTACTTTTGGTTATTACATGAGCTTATACTTCTCTTTCCCAAGTAGTATCAGTTACTCATTATATAAAAACCTACAGCTGACTTAACCTTAAATTTCTGGTTTTATGTACAGAAAGCATCTCCCTATTGTTATTTAATGATGTAATAAAAGATGATGGCTCTGTGGTCACCTTGTTGCTCCTAAGAGCCTGCTGGCATTCCATCAATATGAGATCATTCCCTCTTTTGAATTTTAATTCTGTCCATTAAATTGTATTAATTAAGTACTTTCAATATGATAGCTAAAATGAGATTACATCTACATACTCAGGCAGAATGGATATATTTCTTTCCGTAATAATTTTGGGAGCCCAATCAGGTGGTGGTGGTTGAGATTGGGGTTTAAAGGTGTAGTGCAGATAGTTTACATTTCCTTTGAAAGAATATCATACATTACACACTTGGTGAAAAGACACTATCTTTCTCTAAAATTTTAGTCTTTCTGTGTATTCCGTGTCTGATCCAAAAGGTTAAGTCTGTCTGTGGCCCTGTATGTAAGCATGTAGATTTTTTCAGTGTTTTGTGACTATCTTATTGGGAGTTTGTTTTTAGGAGTCAACTCAACCCTAAAAATTATAAATATCTTAATGTAATCAGAAGTAAATTTTCTTTTCTTTTTAAAGACAGAGTCTTACTCTGTTGCCCACCTTAGAGTGCTATGGCATCAGCCTAGCTCAGACTCCTGGGTTTAAATGATCCTCTTGCCTTAGCTTTCTGAGTAGCTAGGACTACAGGTGCCCAGCACAATACCCAGCTAATTTTTCTTCTTTTGTATAGATAAGACCTTGCTCTTGCTTGGACTGGTCTTGAACTCCTGAGCTCAAGCGATCCTCCCGCCTTGGCCTCCCAGAATGCTAGGATTGTAGGCATGAGCCACTGCACCTGGCACACAGATTTTTTTATATAGAGTCTTAATAAGAAAAATTCACCCCAGAGAACAATTTTAAAAAATAGTATATTCAGTTTTGAACTACTTAGTATTTTGACTATTTCATAACCTGAGCCCAGTTTTTCAGGAAATAACAAATCAGTCCAAACACATGTGCACGAACACTTACAGAGTAGATGATTTTGACCTTGGATTTTGTCCTTCTCTGAAAAATGACTTTCTCAGGCAAGTAGGATCATGCTTAATATTTCTTTTTTCTTTCTGTCTTTTTTTTTTTTTTTTTTAAGAGACAGAG